CACGCAAGGGTTTTTTTGGGGGGGGGTGGGGGTCACTTCAGGAGAAGCTCACATTACTGCCAACAACTCCAAAGAGCTGCTCACAACAACTAACAACTTTCCTATTACTATTACACCATATGAGGTGATACTTCAATGTGCTATGATCTGCATATAGTCCCTATTTGACCCACAGGACAGTTCAGCCACTGCATTCAGATTAATTTACAGATATTATAAATGCTAAATAGTAAACACTGTTTGTGTATAACATTTGAGAAAGTTTAAAAAAGAAAGACTCCATAGATAAGGAAGATAAAAAGCATGCCCAACTCACCCAGTGATCCTCTTGCAAAGGCCATCCTAAGAGAAGAAGCCAGACTTCCACTCATCTGCTGGTAGAAGACTGAGTCCAGGCAGGGACAGGCAGTGCCCACTGGCCCTGGCCAACTGCGCTGAGGCCTGGGGAAACCCACCAGGAAGATGGGAAGGGTGAAGAGGGGCAGCAGAGGGGCAGAGAGCAGGGCAGAGAGGGTCACAACTGCCAGCAGTATTGGAAACAGGGAGGCGTTCAGAGCCAGGAGAGTTCCAGCTGATTGACGCCGCTGCTTCTTCTCAGTCCAAGAAGTCACCAACACAGTCAGGGTGAACTTTAGCTTGGCCAGGAACTGGGTCAGTCTGTCAATCAGGAGACCCACCTGAATCAGAAACAAGGGAGACAAACATGATGAGCACTAACCAACTGAACCATCACTAACAAAAGTAAATAAATACATTTATATGTAAAATGTAGGGTGGAAATAAGGGACAAATTAACATTGATTTCACCAGAAGAAGCTGCACTCCAGTGCCCAGGTCATCCCACCCTGGCAGCGTGTTTCCTGCTGCGAACCTCACCAAGACCACCACCACCATTTGGAGCAGAGCATCCTCTGAGCTCTGCCACACCTGCACAGCAACACAGATCAACCACTATTCTGAGCATAAGCACAAACATCAAACAAAAAGCTCTCATAGATTAATCACTGTTTATTTAATAAATAATAATGAAGAAGAAGACATGCCAAGAGGACATGTTCTTCATTGTCATACTTTCCAGTTTTATTTTGACCTGTGGTTTGTTCTAGGAATCTACCTTTAGTTCCATTAAACAAAGGTTTTATAATAATAATAAACATTTGCTGGTTGTTCTGTACACAGACAGTGATCAAGAGTGAGTTTGAGCGCACCACTCTGAAAGCTCGTGTGAATCCCACACAGAGGGAAACCCTGTGGAGCAGCTGCAGAGACTGGTCCATAGACAGGAAAGCAATCATTGCAAATGGAGACACTGTGAAGTAAAACACACAGTAACTGCAGGTCAAAAACAAATTCACAGAGCACAGTTGTTTTTATGCTTGAGAGACATATGAATATAAATAGAGAAAAGCAAACTTAAAATATAGTCTATAAGATTCTCACCAAGATGAAGAACTCTTCTGATTGCTGCAGCAGTGTATAATCCTTTGATCCTTTGCATGAAAGTCTGCACATTGGACATACCTTTAGGATAGAGGGGATTGAGGAACATCCCTCCAAAAACATAGGCCCCCTGGATCTCTCTGAGAGCCCAGCAGAGGCAAAAGAGTACAAGGAGGAGGTAACTGACAAGAGCCTGTGGTCCTGTAACCAAGTTTTGGGATTGAGCTGAACCAAAGAAGTGATGCAAAAGCCCCGCCTCTGCCACTGCCACCAGTAACAGGCTCAAATATACCAGTAGCTCCCTGCAGCCCAGATTCCAGCCAAAAGAAGTGAGAGCAGGAGGTGATGACCCCCCTCTGTGAAATCCATGGCTCCCGAAGGCCGCCCTGCGTCTGCAGAATGTTCCAACCTGGCCAAGGTCCAGGCTCAGCAGAAATCCCGTAGAGATGGAGAAGAGAACCACACCCAGTGTTGATGGGATGAAGTAATTACACACAGCGACGCCGGCAGATACACCAAACATCAACAGCAGCCTACAGGACAGTGTACACAGTCAGGACTGTTGCTACACAGGTAACTGTTCATATTTGTAATTTCAATATGACCATTCGAATCCGATCAAGATGGTCAATCTGGTTTCTCACAAACATGGCCGGGATAACAGTACACAAAAAAACTGTGATGATGCAGGAAACACTGAATCTGTTCTTTCAAAACTCAATATCAAACTGTGAGGACAATAATATGATTGGTTTTCAATATAGTCTGGACACAGTAATGTGTAATGTGCATTGCAGCAATGTAAAGATGTGAAGCAAGGAGAATATTATACAAAGCAGATGCGTAGCTATTATGAGGAAATGTTTAGACTTATAAAAACTACATATGAAATAACACTTCAAAAAGCAAAAGCTTACAGGGACAATTTCAATCCAGTATTACAGCTACTGTATTAACAGAATTTCAAGGAAATCAATTTGTATGTACAAGACTTAGTTTGAAATACTAATCCTGCAGATGCACCAAATATTATATACTATATATGGAATGATTAATTAAGCCAAAATCTTCATCAAAACAGGAGAGAGAGGCAGGAGACAATCATATCAATCACAACCATAATATACCAGCTTTTGTATCTTAATGATTTTAATTATCTACTCAAATTTTCTAGCTTTTGGCACAGCCAGGAAAATAACATTTGTCAATACCAACAGAAACAAATTAGAACTAAGGTTTAAATCTTGCTTGAAGCTTATTGTTCTATGTACCCGAGGTTGCTGGACATGGGCGAGCCTCCTAAGCCAAACACAAGAGCCTGCTCCATGCCCCAAAGGAGCAAAGCATCCAGGGGAGGCAGGATGCCTAGTGCCCAAAGTAGAGGTAGGAAGACGAACAGCACGTGGAGAACCTGGCTGGCCAGCTGGAGCTCAGGGAAAGGGCCTGAGAACCTAAATCACAGAAAGATCTTAAGATTTATTATGAGAGCACACACTGTAAAATATAATATTTGTATGTTAGGACTGTTGCTTTGCTCACCTATCAGCCAAGTCCACAGAAATGAACATAAGAATGTAGAGGGGCCGGGTGAGTGGGGCGATCTCATAAGTGTCCTGTGCCTGGAAAGTGGCCGTCTCTGTGGCCGTATTTACAATGAGGGAATACTCAGCTATACAAAGCGTAACCCAACTTAGGACAAAGACTACCAGTGATACACCAATGCTGCTATAGAGAGCAGTCAGTCTGCCAAGGAACACATACCATGTACCAAAGCCGCAGAGCACCCCGGCTAGTACTGTATGCAACACCACATTCAGCCCAAACTTCTTCCCAGGGACAATGAAACGAACTGTCTCTGGGCTGACACAGTGGGTGAATTCCACTTCCTCTTCATCAACTAGGATGTTGGGTGCACCAAGTCTCTCCACTGTACCCCTTCTCCGAGCAGCATATAATGCCAGGGCCTGGACACCTGCTGCAGCCCCGAACATGAGCATACCAGAGAACACTGCACCGTGGAGCTCCTGAAGCAGCTGCAGCTGGCAGAGCAGAGTTCCAATGCCCCCAAAAAGCCATGGTGTTAGGAACAAGACTGCCTGATTGACATATACATAGGGCGGAGCACAATAGCCCAACTTGAAGCGTGGACCCCCCAACACTGTCTGGGGGAAGCGCTTCCAGAAGAACTCCTGTTTGTACTCATTGAGAAGGGGCACATCTGGCCCCATTCTGACCATTACCGAAGTGGTGGCAGGTCATCTCCATGCAGCTGAAGGAGGTTTTCCATTCATCATCCCAGACACAATATAGCTCTGCAATAAAGCACACCTTCAGTTAAGCAATGGTGATTATTACCATGCCAACTAAAGATGCACTAATACAATTTATTGTCACTGTCATACAATAGTCTGTGCCTTTCAATGTAATATTATACCTACTGGCATTAGACCAACAATAACGAACACAGTGATACAATAATAAATGGTTTTACACTGTAATACACTGTTAATTTAACTATTTTTGCTGCCTATATTTGGAAGATTTTGGAATTTCTGATATTTTCTGTCCAACTCAGAAGAGTTCTTTGAACTGTCATTCTATATAGACTGAATAATTCTTAAAGCCATTATCTAGAAACAGGGCAGGTATATCTGAAAATCCTGACCCCTTTGGCATATACAGCATAATTCCCAAGAGTGACTGGTGGGAAAATACTGAATGTGGTCACGTTAACACGAAAGGAAATAACGTTGAACATCCCTGAAACTCAGTTGTCATTAATTAATTCTAATTTAATAACAAAGACTATGAATCGCCTTCGATTCATAATATATAACACAAAATAAGAGACATAGGACAGGAGCAACAACTAACACTGGGTTATTAAAATGTATCACAGAAGCTTGTGGATGCGCTACTGTGAGCTAACCCGTTCAAGCTAGTAGCCGAGCATTTCGAGTCTCACCTCAAATAAGCAAACATGGGGATAAACGAAAAGTAAACTGTTTTCTGGACATCTCTGAGACCGTTTTCGTCTCTTTACCCTAGCTAACTAACTAAAACTGTCAGCTCGCGAACCGAAACCAGCAAATCTTTTCAATGTAACGTTAACTATCCGTTAGCTTGCTCTTACTAACATATACATAACAGCAGGTTGGCAACCTGGAGCTTTTTTGCCAGGAGATAAACTTACTGTGAACAACAGAATAGCCAAAGGCAGACACGTTCTGTGTAATATTTGACGTTATAGGATATATTATGAGGAAACGGGGCAAACCGTGAGCATTGACATTACCCGCTAGCTAAACACTAGAAAGCCAAGCAACATCGGCATGATGTACACAGACAAATGGTAGCCAATAGGAGTGATGACGATAGGACAGCGAGTCCTCCGATTGGCCCGAAACTTATAAACCCCGCCTTCCACAGCAACTGAAGTAGCACATTAGTGAGCAGAGAAAACTGATAAACTATCTAGGTTTATAATCGTAAAATAATTTTAAAAAGCTATGACAGCTTTATTTTCCCCCATTAAATCAAAGATTCATAAAAGTAGGAATGCCTCTGAATATACGCAATGATTAGTGCTAGAACTCTCATATATATAATAGGTCAAGGTCAAAGTGTTTATTTCTCATATGCACAGTTAGGAAACGTGTTTCCCTGCACAATGAAATTCTTACTTTGCTGTCCACATGAATGCCACAAAATATAAATGAAATATAAAGTAGATGAATAAGTAACACAATATCTAAGGCACTTTAAGTAGCAAATGCAGCAATATAATAAAAATATATAAGAATATAATGAGAGAATGTGTGCTACATGGGAGCAGCATGTGCAGTAGTCAACAGTCAATGTGCAATTATGCATGTGCAAACTGAGAATGTAAACAGTACAGGTCGACAGTACATGACGTATTTCCTGGTAATAAGACCCAGTGTGGACAGTTTGTGGGTGAGTTTGTGGGGGACAACTGTGTTGAAGGCAGAGCTGTAGTCAATGAAGAGTATCCTGATGTACGAGTCTCCATTTTCCAGGTGAGAAAGGGAATAGTGGAGGGCAGCTGCGATGACGTCTGAGGTAGACCTGCTGGGCCGGTAGACCTACTGCAGGGGGTCCAGGGCGTCCGGTATACTGCTCTGAATGTGGGCCAGCACCACTCTCTCAAAACACTTCATAATGATTGGGGTGAGTGCCACTGGCCTGTAGTCGTTCAGGCAGATGACCGGGCTCTTCTTGGGAAGGGGGACGATGTTGTGGTATCAAAGCAGGTGGGAACAATGCTCTGGCTGAGGGAGAGGTTGAAGATGGTGGTGAGAACATCAGCCAGCTCGCTGGCACATGCCCTGAGAGCCCTCCCAGGGATGTTGTCCAGTCCTGCTGCTTTGCAGATACAACTCATATATAAGATAAAACAGTGTTGAAGGTCCACTGCAGGTCACATTACTATTTTTTTTCTACTTCTGCATTGTCCAGTATGGCCATATCTGGAATTCCTGTGCTTAGGTGACCCAAAAAACAGACATAGGGTTGGGAATATTACATTATATTACATTTTAAATCCTTGTTATTGTGTTCTTAATACAAAAAGTGCAAATCCTACTAGTATTTTATTTTTTCAATATAAAAACGTGATTGTGGTCAAGTGTCTGCCTCTCCTAAATGTTGATTTACTTCCACATAAATGAGATCATGATGTGATCAACCAAAAAGGCCATAATATCACCACAAAGAAAGAAAATAATGTGGAGCAAAGTAGATTAAATTGTTGTTGTTGTTGTTATTCTTTACTGGGGCTGAGGGGATTGGGTTAGGCATGAGCTTGTGTTTCCTTGTCATCTTGAAAAAAGCAATTTCTGCTCTGTGTAGGACACAATAAACCACAATAAACAACAATAGAAAAGCTCATCAGTCACAACAACATGTATTGCACCCTGTAATCCCTGCATAGTATCACTGATGTAAAATCATTGCTCCACTTTTGTTATAGCTGCCTGATGAAGAATATCTATCTATCTATCTAATACTAAGCACTCATTACAGGAGAAACACATATGTAAATATCATGAAATAAAAAGGTTGACACCAAATTGGCCCATCTACAAAAACTATCTGACAGTCCTATCAAAACTGATTCCTGTTAAGACAAGACTGGGTATTTGTCAGTTGTTTTGTCATTGTGTTACCCTGTTTGTGCTGTTTTAACCAAGCAACATGCTTAGTGATTGAAATAATGCAAATGACTCACAAGTTCAATAAGTGATAAATCACACTTAGGTCCACAAATGAATAGCAGTTAAGAGTTAATGCTTCTACAAGGTGTGCTCTCACCAAAATGTCGGTACAAAATAAAAGCATTTTCTCTTTCATGCTAATTGTCACTCTCACACCATTCTTTTATCTGTATTTTCACTCTGTTATTCTGGGGAGACTCAGCAGAGACCAATTGCAGGAAAATGACAAGTGACGATAACTCAGTGACATATTTCAAGAGACGCAATATGGCAAGATTGTTTTTTGAAAACAGGATGTATTTATGGGGATGAAAAATAAGCTCTGGACATAATATGCACCTTTTGAAAACAAAATAATTTATATTTTGATGGTGACCTGCAGCTGGTTGTCATCAGCAGCCAAAAGTGTAGGGGACATTTATTTTTGCAACAGCAATCCCAAGTCAAGTACATGACGCTGATAACCTCTATTGAAACACTTCAAAAGTTAATACAAGCTGGTAAATGTGCAATGCATGTGGAGTTTACACATATAGTATATAATACTTTGGTAGACACTGAAAAAGATAAAGTGTTATCTTTGGCATCAAACATCAATCAGTGTCCTCATCCTTCCCACTCCACCCCCAAAATTAACCAGTGCTGGAACCTGAGTAAATAGCAGTGAAAACACGGTCCATTCAGCAATTATTCAGAGTCTTGGACTAATGGTGCTCTGAATGCACAGACCCAGCAAACACAGAGTTAGTGAACCAGCAGTAATGGCCCCATACAGAGTATGTGTACATCTCAGTGTGTGTTGGTGGGGATAAGAAGGAGAGAGCATCATCTATAACTGATGCACAACAAGCACAAACATGTCTAATTGTGAATGCAGATTGCAACTGTGGAGACCAATTTCCTTTCCCTCTCAACCTCCCACCCCTTCTGTCTCTCTTCCTCCTCCCACCTGAGCCGGGCTCCATATCAGGCAGATGAAAATATAACCTGTCACATTCCATCCCATTAAACCAGCTACGTACCATGTGGTCTACTCACATGGAGGAGCGAGGAGAGGGTGAGAGATAGAGTAGTGCATCTGAGAAATGATGAATTATTCACAATCTTTATGCTAATGTCATTTTAATGGTAAAAATACTGACAGATATGCAACGAGTAGCATACTGTATGAGATGGTATACTCACTACAAGCTTGCACCACATGCAGACATTCATTAAATGCATTAAAACATTAAAAGCTGTTATATTTCTAACATATCCATATGGCACTACTGTACACAGATAAAAGAATGTGTAATTATCCTGTGTAATACCTAATGCATTACAGCACTCTTACTGAGACCTCCAAATCTGTGCATTAGAGTTTTTTCAGCATGAGTCCATCAGCTGCCATTTGTAGTCAGGGAGAGCAAGGTAATGACAGTGCACTCACTTGCACAGTTATTAGCCATGCTTAATGCTGGGAATTAACACAAATTAAGTCCAGTTAAGTACATGCATTAGAGGAGATTGTTTGGGGAGAGCTTTTAATTTTTGCTGCCTAGAGCTAGCTGGCCTTGTATGTTTAGCAAAGGCTAGACAGGCAGGAAATTTGAAGTATACACATATATCCCCTTCAACTGGTGAATTACTACCTACAATACAAGACAGGAGGTAAATTAACTGAGAACTGATTAGTGGTGCCCTAAAGGGAGAGGGCATGGAGTTCTCAGGACACCTAGTGGTCACACTAACCCTACTAATGCATAATAGCTGAGGCTGCTGAAGGAAGATCTAAAAGGTTGCTTTTGGTATATTTTCCTTAGCCACTGTTTTATTTACAACTAAGAACAAAGGCCATATCTTCTCCAAAACTCAGTCCCAACTTGGTTATATTCAATCTTTTTTAAGGAATACATGTCATAAACTGGCACAGGTCAAGATGTTCGCTCATACATCAGTCTGTATCTTTTACTCCACAGTAATATTTATGCCTAAAGTGATGGATGGGAATACATGTCCTATCTAAATCTTTTTAAATTGAGTTATGAGTTTAGAGGTCCCAGAATGACAAGGCTTTAGATCACAGGCTGTACCTTTCACATCTAAGGCTCAGCTTCGAGTAACTGTAACTATATGTCTACAAGGCTAAACTGACAGGAGGACAGGGAGGATTCTATTCTCATGTTCAGCAGAACTATCATTGTAAATGTCAAGTGGAATAAGTTTGTTTCCAGTTACAACACAAAATTTGTCTTTTGCCTAGATGAAACTGTGGAGAGCTTTTCAAAAAGAGGCTAACGTGATGAAACTGACGATCTCTGAAATCCATTTGGATCTCATGCAAGATTACAGCTTTATCTGAGTGACTGCAGATTACTGTCCACGGAGAGGTGTGCTAAAGCTGGATTATCAACTTGTTGGGGATGTGTTTGACCTGATGGGCGCAGCATGCCGGCCTAGCACGTCCTTACATCTGTGAGTGTTTTACACTTGTTTAGGGCCAAGGATGGGATAGGAGTATAAATGACACCAAAACCACTCATGATTACTGATCCACATATGTGGATAGGGAATCAAATCATTTAATATAAATGTGTTTCAAAAAGATGCAGCTTTAATAATAATTTTAATTAGCGGCAAAGAATATTTATTGAAAATGTAAACTGAAGAAAAAAAATTCTAAAGTTTATAGAAAGATTTTTTTTTTTGCAGAGGGCATTTAAATTGTTCAGTGTCAATCACATCGTATTCACTGAATATTCAACAGTATGCAATTGCTCTCAGACAATAAAGCAAACTTACAAAAACACCATAAACAACCATAAAGATATACTTTAATGTCCTGCATGCTGCACCAGGGTGCATCAATACTACAGTAGATCTCCACACCACAAGAGTAACCACTCTGGCTGCTACATGGGTGGAGGTTTGCCACCATTTAGAACGCTGGAACATATTATACACATGAAATAAGTATGAGACAGTCACAGTTTTGTCAGATGACTCACATTTGAAAGAAAAATAATTATATCTCTATCTGCCTTGCTCCTGGTGGGGATACGTGACAAAGACTCTGTTCCTGTCAGACTGGAGACCTGTGGTTGGCAGGTTGCTTCCTGTTCTTCGGATGTGTCTGAAGGTAATGTCAGTTTGGCTGCTTTGAGGAGCCTTACTGTGTTTGTGCTTCCTATCTGATACTGGAAATAAACCCAAGAGTGTAGGTTAGTCACCAAGCGTGTCAAGCCAGTGCTCAACCTAATGCACAGTTACATACATAACAGTTATCTGGTATATCTTAATAATGTAAAGTCATTCTTTCTTTTTGTACTAGAGCTTTAAGAAACACAAAACACCATTTCATAACAGACTACAGATGTAAAGTCTAGTGCAATGTGAAATTTTGTTGATCAATAAACTTACACTTGTATGTGTAATGAGACTGGGCTTCATCCGTGTTACTTGACAGAATATTGTGCCCATGTGAGTTCTGTAGTCCTCCACTTATACTCATTGCTCTTAGAGGGGTGTATCGAGGCATGAGGGGTAGCAGTCCAGGTAGGTTTATTTCAGTAGTAGGAAAAGAAGCTCCAGAGCATTGGGTGGAAGGCTTGAAGAGAAATATAGAGAGCATAAGGAAGACAGAAATCCTACTTCAGGACAGGATTACACTGGAGAAAAGATGATAATAATGTGTTAAAATTATCTCTTAAATGTCCCCAGGGTGAACTCAGTGTTCTTTTTTCTCCACCCTTCTATGGCTACTTCCATCACTGCAGTGTGTCCACCCACACACTTGGAAATTGATTAGTAATTAGATTGTTTGTTGTTCCACATATATAAACATCTTATAGGGGAATGGTAATTACAGCTCATAAGTAGCAATGTTCAAATTCCAACAAAAGCAGTCAAAGGCAGAGACTATAGTGATAACTGAGATGACAGTTATGAGAGCTAATAGGAATGTTTGTGTTTTATCTGGAAATCCCAGGATCATTGCTCTATCATTTCAACATCTACGATTAACAAGCAGAGGGGGTCGTGTCGACCTGGCTAATAGGGGGTAAATACACTACTGCATTATCAGCGGGGCACATTTCATCTAATCAGCAGGATGATGCCAGCAGGCTTAGGCTGTTTTTAATTCAGAGCTGCAGGAGAATTACTGCCCTGGTCTCTCCTTACATCAACATCAAATCAGTCAGACTGAAAGAGTTTGATCCAGGCTTTTCCCTTTTTTTGGTGGCTGCTGTTTGGTTGTTTTCATTCTCTTACTTTCGAATGGACTACATCTTATATTATAATACCCATGATAAGCTTTAACCTAAGCAAGGTCTTTGTTTATTTGTAACACAGTAGGGGAGTGTGGGGATGACAGAATCTTTTCCTGCAAACTAACCTTATACCTAAAAGTAGAAATTTATTAAAAATAAAACATATACTGTATGTATGTAAGTCCATGTAACACATCCCTTACCACTATCAGTAGGTTCTGACCAGAAAGCAAAAAGAAATAATGAAGGCATTATTAATTAATTATTTGTTGGCCTAAAGGTCATCGCATTGAAACATACTGTCTAAAAATACTAGAATCACCTTGTAAAATCCACACCACTCCATTAATTGGAAAAACATAAATTACCTGAAAATAAACGAGCTCTGCATTAATGGTAGGAACGACTTTGTGTGTACTCTGTATGTGTGCGAGTGTTTCTGATGTGTAGTTCTCACTGATGGAACAGTACTGAAGAGTTCAGCCCTGGTCCTTTCCTCCAGAGTGACCATCACTCCATCCAAGACCTGTAAGCGGGAAAGACGGAGTACTACTGCTGGTCTGTGGAGAGACTTTTGGGCCACCTGGAAACAACAAAAGAAAAAAGAAATTCATCTAATAAAACTACTGGTAATGAATAAATTACACAGACCCTAACTAGCACTCAGGAATTTGAATATTGGTGTCTAGACAAAGACTGTCTGAGGCATCTGGAATAAATATGATGCTATGTGGGTCCCAATGTAGTGATCATGGTCCCAGCAGCTGAGAGCAGCAGATAGCTCCCAGCCAAGCTGAGGTCAAGCTCTGGCCAGGATACAAATCCAGACGCTCCAGTGACAGAACTGTATGTTCCTGCAGGACACTGCTGCTGTGATTAAGTTGTGAATGCGTGCCAAAGGATGTCCAGTGAAAAGGAGGAGACAGAGTGTGGCTATGGAACGCAGCTGAAGTAGCATGCAGTCAACAGCAGGAGATATTGTCTCCAGGGTGGTTGTTGGCCTCTACCTCCTGGCAGGATTAAACTTCCCTATGGGGAGAGAAGGGGGATGTGGTAGAGCACCAAAGAGGCTACCACAGCTGAGCATGATCCTTTGGATAATAGGGAGCTGCAGGCTCTGCTCTGGCCTGATCCATGAGCTGCAGATGGGTAACCGGGCCAATAACACCCAGCCATTTGGTCAAAGGATTTGTCTCTGATGTTGGCCAGTTTGAGGCACAGCAGACGGCCCATCATGTAATCACTTAATTTGGGACTACACAGTTACATTGGTTTAATGTTTTAGATTGTGCAAGTGAAAGATTTGTTCAGAAGTTCACAGCATGCTCTGAGTGACAGCTAGTAAATTCATCTCTCTGTGCAAAGGCCATAATAACAAAACAATTTTTCCAAATACAAACCACCTACAGTAATTATGTTTATTGTACTTATATTAATAATACTCACAGGATTGCCAACAACAGAGAGGTCTGTCAGTGAAGGAAGAACTTCTAGTTTGTCAAGCTCTGTGACGTCCTACAAAAGTAGAGAAACAAAGATTACTTGAAATAATTTTACATTGCCTATCCCCTCATTTAACTTTTCTTTCCTACTGGTTGTGGCCTGCTGTGTGTTGATAATGGAGATGTGCCTCAGGGCTGAACCCTTCATAATTTTAGTGTTAGAAGGATGGAAGCAGCTGATGGGAGAGATTACATGTATGAGCTCTCATTAATCTCATGAGAGTTTTGGGCATACGGTAGTGTATGGGGGTGTTTTCTCTCTTTCCCAGGTTTGTGCATGGACTTGGCTGTGTTTCAAAGATGCCCTCAGTGTGAGGACTGGCATGGGATGAATGCTATATTTTATGTCTTAATTGAATGCGTGACAACATTAAAGAAGTGAAGGGAAGAAGGAACTGGCAACAAAAGTGCAAATCACTTGCCCTGGGTGAGAAGGATATAGACTGAGAAGCTGATTACACGTTGTCCTGATTGTTCCCCTCTTTCTTCTTATGCATGGCCCTGACCTTCAATCAAACTTGATTCTCATAATGCTACCCCTCGCATGCCACAGTGGGGTGGTAATGACTCATGATTACTATACTTCATGCCTTACTTTGCAAATGCAGGGAAAAAGTAATACTGCTACACAAAGAATATAACACATTCTTAAGCACTGAACACATTTTGCATATGAACCAATCAGTAAAAGTTGGGGGCAAATCAAAAACTGCAAAAAAAGCTCAGTGACCTTGGTGGTCACCCCAAGAAATCATTCAGTCAATCAGAATGTGTAGTTTTATTAAAAATCTGAATATAAACATTAACATATCCATATCTTCTGCTGGAGATTAATACCTGCAGCTTGTTCAAGTCAAGAAAGAGCTTACGAAGCTCAATCAGAGGATTCAGATGGTTGAGCTCCCGGATCCGGTTCTCTGCTAGGTGCAGCTCTAGCAGGGCATTTTGGGCTATGAAAGAGTTCTCGGCCAGAGCTTTGATCCGATTTCTGTCTAACACAAGCTCCCTGAGCTGGTGAAGCCCCTCCAATCCTTCCACCTGGCTGATCTCATTATCTAGGGAGAGAGAAAACCTTATGAAAACAATAGAAAGACATAACAACAGTTTAATATTTCTATAAACACAATACAAGGAAAAATAGCACACTCATAAAATTATAAAAGGCCACATTTAATGGCTATATAGACATTTGTCAGTTTTTTTTTTGTGTGTGTGTGTGTGTGTGTGTATGTTTGCCCCTGCATTGAAATTACAGTGACAGCAAAAGGAAGAAAGGACAAGTAAGGTCGGCTTTGTGGAACAAATCACAATTCAATCAAAGGCCATCAAATGCTATTGAAAAGAAAGTCAGTCGTAATTTTCTTCAAGTCTCTTCACCCACCTGGCCATAAGTCTACAGGAGACTTTGTTCTCAGTGCTTGCCTTTTCACAGGCTTTATACACCACACTTTAACAAGGCTTTGTGAAGGATGGGTGGTACGTCAACCATACATACCTAGAAGGAAAAGTGCTTTAAGATTGGTCAGCCTGCTGAGCTGCAGATTGGCCATATTGGAGATGCCATTGTGACTCAAATGCAGCACCTCCAGGCTCCCCATCAGTGGCTCCAGGCTGCCAGTGGGCCCGGTTTCCCTTAAACAGTCACAGATTGACAGTTAGCAACCTCTATGGCTAAATGAACATCTCTGTCTCCCTCCCATTGCCTCATTTAACTGGTCAGACCTCACAGGTGCAGACCACCTAAAAGGAATAAAAGTCAGGGCAAACAAAAGCATGCAGCACTGCTTGTGTATCAGTTTCTACAAAACAAAAATAAGACTGAAGGATTATAAAACAATTACCACAATATGCTGATAATGTAGAAATTTCAAAACTGACATTGCAATATTCACTTGATTGTAGATATAGAATGTCTACAAAGTATTTGAATTCAAATGACAGGACATTTCTAAGACTAGGTTTACATCTTTGACAAAAATATATAACTGTCAAGAGAATTTTAATACGCTGTATTGGCTGGTCAGTGCTGCCCTCTAATGGTTACAGTGGACAAATTCGGTTAATGTTCAAACTGCAAAATGTAAACTGAACAGGTGAGTCTCTGTTTTATGTACTTCATTTCATTTTACACAAGCTGTATCATATTACCTGTTGCCTTTGGATGTGGTCTGTTGGCCATAACCGCTGGAGTGAACTTTGCTATGCAATATCTGTTTATTTGTCAGATGAACCTGAGTCTTTTGCCTCGGCAGGATGGACTCAATGCGGTTGTAGTTCAGACACAGAGCCTGTACAAAAGACATGGAAAATAATACAGCTGTGTGCAGCTCCAGTGTATTTCAGCCCAGCCTTTAATTTCTAACATTTATAGTGATTTGTACTTTGATGTTGGGCAGGTAGATGAGGCCTGAGAAAGAGGTGAGGTTGTTGTGGTCTAAGTTGACACTGCGCAGGCTACTGAACAGATCTGCTGGAGAGAGATCAAACATCCTATCAAAAAAAAAAAAAAAAAAAAAAAAAAAAAAAAAACCCACACTCACTCATTTAATTCTCTCTGTCCTTCAATGCCAAAGTTATCAGCCTAGTAAATCATGCTTATTTTTGGATGTGTGTCATATTTATCAGTCTGTATAATGTAGCCAGCTATTACCTAATGGAGCAGGACTGCAGGGTGAGGTAGGTGATGTCTGTGTAGTTAGAGTGGCCCAGCTTTTCCGCTACCATGTCTGGGGTTAGTCTTCCTCCAAACATATCCTTTGCACTTTCACACTCAGTAGCCTCCTACAGAAAACAGCAAATACAATACATTGCATATACTATAATTATGTTACCTTCACTACAATATCTAACAGGTTCAAGTAGTTGCTGTTGTCTGCACGTACCACTGCAATCCCATCCAGTGCCTTCAGGGAGGGCAGGTGGAACACCACATATATCCGATAGTTTTCCAGTTTCTCTATTAAAGGATTCCCATAAAGATCTAGAATGATTAGATTTGTCAATCCCTGAAAAGAAATAGGGGCATATAAATAAATGGAAGGAAAATCATACTTTTCTACAAAGTCATAAGGTGTAAAGGTTTCAGTTCCTTGGTATTTATTAGACTCTTGCCTTTAGATAGTAAATGTCTCGTGATGAAGAAATCTGGTTGTTAGCGACACAGAGTTCAAGAAGGGAGTGAGCTCTCTGGATGCCATGCAGGGAACTGATACAGTTGTTCTCCACTGATAAAAAGGACAGATTTGGCAGATGGTCTAAAAGTGAGGCATCCAGACTAGATAGCTGATTTCCATCCACACTCAATTTATTTAGGCGGTGCAGTTTTGACAGGCCTGGGAAACACAAAACAAAACAAAAAACAGATGGTTGCTGTGCTGTTGCTCTGGCCACAAGACTTGAATCAACCTATCTATAGATAAATATATCTTAATGCAGTGATTTTCCAACTTCGTTGTCAAGATGGCAGTGTGACTGACCACTGAGTGTGCTGATGCTGTTGTTGTTGAGGGAAAGCTCCTCCAGCTTCAGACAGCTGTCCAGTCCCTCCACTTTAGAGATGTCATTGTTATTAAAGGAGGCCCAGCGCAGGTTCACCAGCTTATTCAGATTGATCAGCTTGGAAATCTTCTGGCCATCAAGGTTCAGGGCAGTGATCTGGATCAAAATTCATACCAACAATGTATATAATGTTATAAATGTAACATATACTTCATTTCAAATCAAAACTGCCACAATCAGTTTCATACAGCACTATCACACTCTGGACAAAGCATTTTTCTAAACCTTCACAAATGTATTTATAGAAATCACCTTTGCAGTCCAGTCTGGCACCAGCTCTTGGGTGAGGCCCCAGGGTGCAGGACAGAGAAGATACAGGAGCTGGGCTGTGGACAGCAGGCTGAGACTGCGGGGACGATCACTGTTGGTACGTGAGTGAGCCAGAAGAGATGCCTGAAAGGCAGTGTCAGTGGGTCTGATTGAATTACAGAACATTCTGAAATATCCGCCTACTGCAACCTTCACTGCAGCATGTAATCAATCAGCACTTTATAAAAATATTGTTTCCTCTTAACAAGGACAAGCCCCTAAAATATTGTACATTAAGTACTCATATAGCAACACAAATAGCTGTAAAACCTGGTTAATTTTGGACCCAGCAGCCATCTGAACAGCATTAGCAGCCTCCTCCTCTGTCACCACCACATCATTCAGGTGTGTGAGTGTTGTTAGATGGCCCAGTATAATCATTCTGACTTCCTCTGGCTTAAAGGAGGAAAAACAGCTTCAGTGTATACCCCCTCCTGATACCTTGCACAACAACCACTGTTTCAGGTTACTTGCAGTACATTACAGCTGGTACACACCTTGTTCCAGGGATTGTATTGAGCGTCCAGTTTCAGTAGAGCAGGTGTGTGTTTTCTCAGCACAGCTGTATCTTCTCTGACTTTGGTCAACTTGTTCCAGCTCACATCGAGCTGTTTCAGCTGTCCCAACCCCCTCAGCCCTTCTAGGGTCACCAGGTGGTTATAGCTTGCATCCAGAAACTCAAGGTTGGGCTGTGATTTAAGAAAAGAGGCAATAGATTAAGTTCCTGCTTCATGGCATAGTCCAAAATGTTGTGCATCCATACTACTGTACACCACAAAAATCATTTTTATCCCATATTAACCATATTTAATTTTTAGATGAATAATATCATGTTCTGTGATCACTCTTACCATGTGAGCAATGTCATCAAGGTGTGTGAATTCATTGAAGCTGATGGTAAGATGCCGGAGAGCTGTGAGGCGAGAAATCCCCTGCATCCTGCTGAGACTGTTGCCATGAAGGTTCAGTACCTGGTGATTCAATACACTGATAGTTTACTGGGTGTGTCTGAAATGGCTTCAAAATCAAGTTGTCATCTGAATAGTTTGAATTCTTACAGTGATCTGAGTGAGGACCCTGGCTCTAGCCACATTAAGCAGAATTTTCTCATCCAAGCTGAACAACTTAGGCTGTGGTTTCAGCACAGGTTCCATGTTGAGGACTTCGTTGTCCAGGATAATATCATTGGAAGGGGTTTCATTTCTGGCTGTATTACGTCCTGAGACTGCAGAGTGTTCTTGGTCCTAATAACAACACATCCAAAGGTTTAAAGCAAATAGGTAAGTTCATAATTATTAACTTGTAGTGCGTATTTACAATCAATTCTAAATCAAATCTGCAGCCACCAAAGAAACACAAACTCAAAATGATGTTGTACCATCTCTTAGATTTGCTTAAAAGCTTTGCTGCTTAATTCTGAATACATCAGAGCTCAGCATGACTGAGCACTTTTTTTTTAAAACTATTTTGATTTTTCCTCAAATTAAAAGCTTGAGTCAAAATGAACTGCAGAAGCCTTCAAGGCAGGCTTCATTATGTTAATTTGGAAGACCAAGGGGATGCCTAGCTTCGCTTGGAACACTTTGCTGAATTTAAAAAGGACTTCAGTTTTGCATAATTAAAGTTACAGTAAAACAGACTGACATCAAATTATCTGAGAGGAAGCATATACAAGTCTAATAAATTTGGTCTATTAAGACAAAGAGTAACAAAACCAATTATTTAATTACCCTGGTTATGTATTCAAAATATACGATGTACTCGGGCAAGACCAGTTCATGGTCAAACACAAACCATTGTCTTTGTCTGGGGCTGCACTTAGGACCAGTGTGTGCCTTTGAGGCGCGGTGTCTGTCTGAATAAAATACACACACAGATATAATGACACCATACAACTACTCACTGAAAAATAATCATTTCCATGTCTTTTGATACACCCACATACCTTCACTCATTGCAGTTATATGCTTACTGTCCACACTGCGATATACAGAGTAGGTTCTGGGATAGCCGGTTCTGTCTACTGGTTCTCCCTCTCGGATGGGCATGCTGTGACCCACAAACACTTTGGAAATAATAACCTGACCTACAGGCAATAAACACTTTCAGCCTTTAATGAAAACAACACTCAGTTAATAGGATTATAAGGATTTAATGCCGTGTGCAAAGCTAACCCACCGTGCCTGAATGGAACTGCATCCATACTGTGCTTGGCCTTGCCTTGAAGGGCCTGGTGCAGTGCGTGTTCAATTCTGGGCTGCTCAGTCACACTCAGGCTGTTGGATAAAGGTATAGCACCCTCCTTTTCCAGGGCATAGTTCAAAGGTAGCATGGTAAAAGTCAGCATGATTTAGAGTTCATGTGAAAATAAGAAATTACAGATACTATCCAGTTATTTCTGCATACAGAACTGTTTCTTCCTTCTGATATTCAGTGCTTAATAAACAGCTGTGCCTTGTAAAAACTGATGTTCATGTTAGTACATACTATAAAGATACAGGAATAAAGTAGTGAACTGACTAACTAGATGAACATATTCCCTTAATGTTCAGTAAAATGAGTTCTGGGTGGTGGGGTGGGGTCTTATGAAGGCAGATTCTTTAAACTAATAATTACAGCAGTATGCACACCTTATGCTGTTCTGCAGTGTTGAAGCCTTCCTCCACTATGCACAAGACGTTTTCCTTCTCACAGTTTTTTTCAGGGTCAGCTGCATAAAGCAAGTACTCCAGCTGATGTTTGTAATTCCTGCTTGAAAAAGGTAGGTTAAATTCAAATATACACTAATATATACTGTAATAGTCCTGTTACTAAGGACAATATTAAGCTTAAGTCTAATTTTACTTACTGTGAAAAGGTAACAGAGTCTTCGCTGGCTAGCAAACTATGAAGCTTGTCTTCAAAGCGAAGCCTTAACACACTGTTGTGGATGCGGACAACTTTGTTTATCTTAATGCCAGTGATGCTGTAAATCTTATAGTCTGACTGAGAAAAGCAGGAAAGCAGGAGGTTGCAACAGGAAGTAAACCTGTTTGTGCACATAGCAGAAAAAATTCTGAGTTCAGTAAAGTCTGTTTTTGACTTATCTTCTGTAAAAGTAAATTACATAATGATTGCAGTCACAGTTAATAATACCAAAATGATACCAAGGGTCTGTGGAACAGCCTTCCTCCAAACGAATATTTCCAACACTTTCTAGCTCCATCAGCAGAAACTGGACTCTGTGTTCCATCATGAGTGTGATCTTGGCTAAGTCTTGCTCATAGCAGGCTTCAATCCTGAAAATAAAACAAGGAATATTATCTTTTCACATTGGAGGAGTACTTCATTAGGCACTCAATACTTAAACATCTAAAATGTACCGTACTGCAGGAATATTTTTAAATTCTCTCTGTATCTTATTCAAGTATACAAACTAACTCATCCATCCTCCTGATCCATAACATCAGTCTCTCCATTAGTGCCTCCATCTTGATGAGTATTTTGGGCTCCAGGGCAGGATTATGACTGATATCAGTGGTTGGGTCACTTCTGTCAGGGGAACCGTCCGTCAGGTAGGCTGAATCCCCTAGTTCACCCTCCAAACTGCAAGCAACTGGCACCTTGGAGAGCTCACGTTCAAGCTGGGAATGTGCACAAATGAGAAACAGTTTTCACAATTTTGTACTATAAAAGTAATCTGCAGCTGGAGATGTCAGCTTATCCTGTGGTATTACAACTACTAAAATATTTTATATTAAGTATTTCAAGGATTGTACATACATTTTTCCGGGCATGATTGAGTGTCCTGATACATTCATCAGGTAATTGGAGCAGAGTTTTCTTCTTCTCTGTCAGACTGAACCTGGCTTCTGCCAGCGTCCTCTGAGCAGTACGTACACACATGTTGTAGTACATTATTTTTTTCATTACTGTGGACTAAAGAAAAAAAAAAGACAAAGTTACACTCAGGCTTACAAAATGTCAAAATGTTTTTTTTTCATGCATTTTATAGAATCTCAGCATCTCAATAAGGTTTCCAAAGACATCAAATGTGTCAAGTCAAATTGAAGGGCAACGTGCTAATGTGACATAAAAGATAGCAAGAATGAGAGTGAGGAAATGCATCAAGAAAACAAATGCTGGATTTAAAGGTTTTGCTCAGTACAAGTATGATTTGTAACTCCATGAACCACTTTTTTGGAGCAACCTAAGGGAAATTTAAGAACAAAATTAGGAATTTAAACAAATTATCAGCAACTGACATATATATCAGTGTGACTCATGTAACAGAATAAATAAACCAAAATAATTTGTATCCTCCCAAGAGCCAAAGAGATATAGGTAAGTTTAATGAGTATAACACAGGGTCCTGGTAGTCTCAGTACCTCAGCTGCTTCCTTTGCTTGCTTGTTTGAGACGTCATACATGTCAAGTTGCTGGAGCCCTGGCATGTGGTAAAGAACGTGTGTGGCATAGTTACACAGCAGACACACTGGGTTTGGGGTTGAGGTGGGGTCCTTCAGCGCTAATTCTCTCAAATTGGGTAAACAGGCAAGCAGGGTCAGCTCCTGTTAAAATGGTAACAACAACAGAGCACACAGGTCAGTGAGAGGAAAGGGTTTCTGTCCATCCATTTTTACTTAAAAAAAAAAATTCAGCAGAGATCAGACAGCACACATAAAGTCTGCATATTTTTCCTCTGCTTCTAAGAGGCACTGGTCTGGAATATTTCTATTTTCTTAAAGCGTTTCAGAAGCCAGACAAAAATGATTTGTCAGCCACTGTAAAGCAGAATTATTACTAATTATAAAGAAATTACAATACGGTAGACAACATACATACAAATACAACCCCTATGGAAAGATGAAATTAATTGGTGGATAATGTTATAGGTACAGTCATGTTGAATACACACCGAAAAAAAAGTCAAAATTTTAAATGCCATAAAAAGTGGAACACTTCTTTTGAAATTGCCCTTTATTTATTTTTCCCTTCATACTTGCTGAAAAGCATTTAGTAAGAAAATGTCACCCTGTAATGACAAGGACCAAATACTTTGACAAATTGAAAATTCATTCGCAGTTGTTGACATACACTGGGTACTCTGAAGCCCATGACAATAGGCTAAATGTGGTTTTGAAAGCCAAGATGAGTTGGGACAAAAGGTGAATTGCAGGAATATGGTTTGAGGTGATAATTCAATCAAAGCTAAAGCCACAGAACTTTGTGTTTCCTCTCAGAATGACCTTGAACAAGACAATGACCCCGTGTAAATGCTCTGAATGTATAACTGACTAAGAGGAACATGTGTATCAAATGAATGTATATCTTTGGATTGAGAATGACAAAAATTGAGATTATGCTGCTCAGTTTTTACCTTTACCTAAAGTGGGCTAGAATGAAGGTGAAGTCAGAAAAAACAAGGAGCATTTCAATAATGAAAAGTGCACTGTTGGATAAAAGGTTTTGTATAAATGATAAGCGGATTCCAACAGTGTTGATGCAGCTGTATGATGCAGCTCCTAGTGATAAAGAGCAGATTCGGGGCTTGAGAGAGCAGGCAGTTGATGGGATTAAGGGCATAGAGGCATCAGGCCTCCCAGGCAAACTCAAACTGTGGTGCCTGCAGTTTGGTCTTTGGCCACAATTGTTATGGCCCCCAACGGTGCATGATGTAGAGAAGAGATATAAGGTAGAGAAGCTGGACAGACTGTTTACCACATACATTAGGAAGTGGCTGGGAGCTTGGCGCTGCTTCAGCAGTGGAGCTGCCTATAACTACAATAACAGAGGAGTTTAAATGTGCTAAGGCTAGACTGGAGATAACACTGTAGGAATCCAGGGATGTAGCGCTGCAGAGGGCAGCACCAACAATCTCAGCAGGGAGGAAGTGGAACCTGAAGAAGGCAGTGTTGCAGGCTCAGGCAGCTCTTAAAAATAAGGATATTGTAAGGCAGGTGGTTTTGGTTTTAGTGAGGGGTGCAGGGTCGAGGTGGTAATAGTGTGACATCATCAAAGGCCATAAATCTTCAACTTCACACCTCAGTTTTGAAAGATAATCCATTGCATATGTCTCTCATACTTCTGTTTATAATCTTACCTTAAATGAGCTGATCTTGTTTCCAGACAGATTAAGGCTCTCAAGACTGGCATTAGCATCAAGGTTACGACCTTAAAATAAGTTAAAAACTATTTGGTTATTACTTTTTTTCAAAACAAATCTCAATCAAACTTGGCAGAGTAAACAGACCTACCAATCTTTTCAATAACGTTGTCAGCAAGGTTTAGTTCTTTGAGATTTTGAAGTGTATTCAAACCCTTTACAAAGGAAAACACACACACACACACACACACACACAACAGAAAACTCATATATTGGAACAGTTACAAGTACAGTCACATTAACTGATTTAATAAAGTGTCTAAAAATGCTGTTTTAGTGAGCTAAAGTACATGAAACAAAGTACATTCAGAAATAAAATTCACAGGTTAAAACATCATACACTAGAACACTGAAAGAGAGAGAGATTGTATTTCCAAACCTGTATGTGGGTTATGCAGTTGTTGTTGAGCCACAAGACTTCTAGGTTAGTCTGCAATTCTAAATTCTCTATTTCACAGATTTCATTATCATAAAGGTAGAGTTTCTCTAGTTGCAGACAATTTTGTAGCCCAGATATTCTCTGCAACAAGAGAAAATGGGACAAATTATTAATTAATATATATGGCATTCTGCATACTGTGCAATTCACTTAAACAAAAAAATGTTGTCCTTAAATTGTTTATGACCCATAAATGGGAGTCCAAGCATGCAAGATTTGCTTTCATTTGGTTCCACAGATTGGGGGGGGGGGTTATTGGAAAGGTTTAAGTCCTTTCCAATAAAACAATAACATATCACTCACAGAATAAACCAGAGAGTACTTTCATGATTCAATGCATTACATATTATTATCTGCTGTGTCACTGACTATTACAAATCCTATAAATATAGCCTAGCATACACAAACTTACAGTCAGATGGCACTGGACAACCCAGAGCTCTCGCAGCAAAGGACAGCAGTCAAGGCCTTCAATGCATTTTATATCCTGGCCCACTATGGTGAGCTGGCAGAGCCTCGGGAAGAAGGAAAGGCCAACCATGCGGGGAAAACCAGAGAAGAAGATCTCCAGGGAGCTGATGTTACTTCCTTCTTGTGCAATTTTTTCATAGGATACTCCATTGACGGTGCACTGTTGAGAAAGGCAGATACACCAAAAACTCAAAAGCGGTTCAATTTAGGTGTCTGAAGTAATTAGTAATAGTGAAACAACATATTAAATTGAGCATTTATATATTAACAAGAACAGTGAGTTTTATACCCACCAGTTCTTTGACCATCTCCTCATCACTGCGGTGTTTTGGTTTCTCACTATGTATCATAATGTTTTCCCCTGAAATATACTGCAGCTGAACTAAACAGTTAATTTGCTACCGCAGAACACGTATCTGTGCATTATCCTATTGATAGTCTCGCAAAAATTATATTAAAAAAAGTAATGACAGCTTTCTGAGCGGTATCTTAACTAATAACGGGGACTATTACGCAAAAACCCCTAGCATTAATGCTACCTTTGCTAGCTTTTAAAGGTAAAGTAACTTCTACCTGTTAGCTCACGGAAATTAAGTGACATAAAGAGCGGTGTTAGGCTAAACTATGTTAAATTCAACCTTGCATGGCAGATAAAAGTAACACCCTTTTCCCAGGAGGAATTACACAACACCGGCGGAGCTCTGCACCAAAACAAACTAATTGGCCCATCTGAGCTCAGCAATGTTTGGCATCAGTTGTGTGTGTCCAAGGAGGAGCGTCTGGTTGTTAAGGAGCCATGTTGGAACTATCCGGTCTGCTCGTACTTTGAGCTGCCACATGGGGGCGTCACACAGCAGATTCATTTTTTTACAAAATCATTAAAACGCACAATTTTCCCTTGGATTTCATAGACACGTGTTCATAAAAATACATTTAAGGTTATAGCTGCGTTTTGTCATCTCTACTTCGTACTACTGACCTGGAAAATAGGCCATCTTTATTTTTCTCCTCTGTGCGCACTGACTGCAGCCTACGTGTAGTCACTGTAGCCTGTTTCACTACACCAAGCATGATTTTTCTGCCATTCACTCTGTCATTATCAAGCAGTTGAGCTCTTTACAGGCTGAAAATGGCTTTCAAATTTAACTCTGCCCCAAATAAAGTGCCAACCCGGAGCCACGGACACCATGACGTCACCGTTGAAGCCGTGAACTAAAACAATCAACCGCACTTTTGTACTCCGGCTCCCGACCGAAGCGCACCACTTCATCTGTGGCGTCTATAAACCCCAGGCTCAACTATCAGACGTCAGCCAGGAGCTGCGTTGTTGTGTCTGTATCCGTCACCCTATAGCGCAAACGGCGCCGCCGCTTATTTACAGTGCAGCCAGGGTAAACGGTGGGAAAGAAAACGCCTATAGCGAGTACATCTTCTGACCGACAACAGGAAAAAGCATGTCTTCTGAAGAGCTAGGTTCGGAAGGGAAGTGGTTTGCAGATGAGTATGAAAGGAACGGTCTGTTTGGGAACACACAGACCCGATTCGACGAGCTACGTGAAGAATATAAGCCAAGAGGCGGCGAGGCGGCGGGCGACCTGGATCAACAATTTCATCCTTTCCATGACGATGGTAAAAGGCCCCCCGTTGCTATGGAAACTGCATCTACAGGTAAAGCGGGCGGCTATTTAAGTTTTAATATTTACTAAGTTGTTGTATTTTAGCATCCTTGGGTTCAGTAGGTTTTAAGAAGCCCATTTTAGGTGTAAGCACAG